CAAATTTGGGATTCAGGCCAGGATTGACCACTTGCAAGGCAAGTGCATTACCTCCTGTGCTAGGTCTCTGGCATCAATGCCTCCAGTAGTCTTTAAATGCACTCAAATCTCACTTTGAAAAAAAAAAGCTTCACTTTACCTACTCTTGTTGCTACCATCTATATATTATCTTCCCTTCCCATCAAATATACATTTCTTTCCCTCCAATCTAATCCACTGAAGCCCTAGGAAGTAGAGAAGAATGTGGTTAAGATGTATTTTGGCACCATATCAGTGAGTAGAAATACATCCTTGAGAGGCTCTGAGACCATAGACAAGTTACCTAACCTCTACATATTCCAATTTCCCTATTTGTAAGATTTTAATACTGTATCTATGATAAGACTGGTGTAAGAATTACTAGAGTTAGTATATGTAAAACACTGATGATAGTGTTTGGCACCAGTAAGTCCTATCTAAGGGTTTTCTATGAATCACAGCCTATTTTCTCTTCTTCACTACTTCTCAGCCAGTTCCCAGCCCATCACTTTACTGCACAAAAAAAATACCAATGAGCAATAACTATTGCAAAATCCAATGATTATTTCCTAACCATCATTATATCTAAGCAGCAATTTATATTAACACTTTTCTTGGAACAGTCTCTTCCCTAGTCCATAGCTACAACTCCCATCTTTTTCCAGTGCTCTCACTCGCTACTATCTGTGGCCTAGACCTCTCTTCCATGTTGCTGATTCCACAAGGCCATATGGTATTTGAACATCCTTTTTTCCCGCTAACTTTTTGGCTTTTTGAGCTACAGCCTGCAGTGCTGAGCTTATCCCTAGCTCTGCACTCAGGGTTCACTCATGATGGTCCTCGGGAAAACATATGAGGTGCTGGATCAAACCTGGATCAGCTTTGTGCAAGGCAAGCACCCTACTTGCTATGCTATTGCTCTGGTCCTGATATATTTGACATCTTCTGGATGTCCCAAGGCATGTCATATGTGTTATTTATATCCCAACCTGAGCCATGATTTTTCTTTCATTTAACATAGCCCCTATTTGTCTTGCTTATTCTTTTAGCCCATCTTTCTGTGGCTGACCTTCACTCCTATTCCAGATTTTAGCTTAAGTTCTCATTTCCTTGAGGAGACTTAGATGGATACCTCCAAAGAAACCTACACAGAACCCAACTCCTCCTGTTTAAAACTGTAATTAGATGGCAAGATACACAAGAGCAGAGACACTGCCAATCATTTTACTGAAGTATCCCAAGACCTCATGTGACAACCTTTAGAGACCTTTCATTTACAATAGGGCTTAGTTACACTTTTAAACTAGAATTAACTGTACTACCTTGTGCCTGGTTAAAACGAGGAGTGCTCCTATTCAATATAGTACTGGAAGTCCTGGCCATTGCAGTTAGGCAAGAAAAAAGTATCAAGGAAATACAGACAGGAAAAAAAGAGGTCAAACTATCACTATTTGCAGACGATATGATACTATACTTAGAAAACCCTAAAGATTCTACAGAAAAGCTCCTAGTAACAATGGGTCAGTTTAATAAATGGCAGGCTACAAAATCAACCCCAAAAGTCCATGGCTTTCTTATATACAAATAACAAAAGAGACATTAAAAAAATCCCGTTCACAATAGTACCTCAGAAAATCAAGTATCTCGGAATCAGCTTAACCAAAGAGGTGAAGGACCTATGCAAGGAAAATTACAAAATGCTACTTCAAGAAATAAAAGAGGACACTAGGAAATGGAGACACATCCCCTGCTCATGGATATGGAGGATTAACATTATCAAAATGGCAATACTGCCCAAGGCATTATACAAATTCAATGCGGTCCCTATCAGGATACCCATGACATTTTTCAAAGAAATAGACAAGACACTCCTGAAATTCATATGGAACAATAAACCCCCATGAATAGCTAAAAACTATCCTTGGGGAAAAGAAGATGGATGGCATCACCCTCTCCAACTTCAAACTGCACTACAAAGCAGTAGTAATTAAGAGAGCATGATACTGGGCTAGAAACAGACCTGCAGACCAATGGAACAGAGTTGAATATTCTGTCACAGACCCCCAAATATATGACCACTTAATCTTTGACAAAGTAGCAAGAAATGTGAAGTGGAACAAGGAAAGCCTCTTCAACAAGAGGTGCTGGGAAAACTGGATAGCTACCTGCAAAAAAGTGAACTCTGACCTCTGTCTAATGCCAGGCACAAAAGTCAGATCAAAGTAGATTAAAGACCTCAATATCAGACATGAATCTATAAGGTATATAGAGGAAAATGTAGGCAGAACCCTTCATGACATTGAAGCTAAAAGCCTCTGTAAGGATGAAACAGCACTGACCATGCAAGTGGAAGCAAACATAAACAAATGGGACTACATCAAACTAAGAAGCTTCAGCACTTCAAAAGAAACAGTGACCAAATACAGAAAGAGCCCACAGAATGAGAAAGAACATTTACCCACTACCCATCTGATAAGGGATTAATATCCAGGATATATAAGACACTAGTAGAATTGTACAAAAAAAAACCCTCCAGCCCCACAAAAAAAATGGGGAGAAGAAATGAACAGAAGTCTCCTCAAAAAAAAAAATACAAATGGCCAAAAGGCACATGAAAAAATGCTCCACATCACTAGCCATCAGGGAGATGCAAATCAAAACAACAATGAGATATCATCTCACACCACAGAGACTGGCACACATTCAAAAGAACAAAAGCAACCAGTGCTGGCATGGATGTGGGGGAAAAAGGGACTCTCTTTCACTATTGGTGGGAATGGTCACTAGTCCAACCTTTCTGGAAAAACAATATGGACAGTCCTTTAAAAACTAGAAATTGAGCTTCCATATGACCCCGCAATACCACTTCTGGGAATATATCCCGAGGATGCAAAAGAGCACAGTAGAAATGACATCTGTACTTATATGTTCATTGCAGCACTGATCATAATAGCCAAAATCTGGAAACAACCCAAGTGCCCTAGAACAGATGACTGGTTAAAGAAACTTTGGTTCATCTACACAATGGAATACTATGCAGCTGTCAGGAGAGATGAAGTCACAAACTTTGCTTATAAATGGATAGATATGGAGAGTATCATGCTAAGTGAAATGAGTCAGAAAGAGAGGGACAGACATAGAAGGACTGCACTCATTTTCGGAGTATAAAACAACATAACATGAGGCTGACACCTAAGGATAGTAGATACAGGGGACAGGTATATTGCTCCATAGCTGGAAGCCTGCCTCATGAGCAAAGGGGAGAAGGCAGATGGAATAGAGAAGGGATCACTAAGAAAAAGATGGCTGAAGGAATTGGTCGGGATGGGAGATGTGTGCAGAAAGTAGATAAAGGACCAAACATGACGACCTCTCGGTGTCTGTCTTACAAACCATAATGCCCAAAAGCAGAGAGAGATTATGGGGAATCATGTTTGCCATGGAGGCAGAGGGAGGGTGGGAAAGCGGGGTTATACTGGGGATACTGGTGATGAGGAATGTGTACTGGTAAAGGGATAGGTGTTTTACCATTGTGTGATTGTAACCCAAACATGAAAGCTTGTAACTATTTCACGTGATTCAATAAAATTTAAAAAAAAAAGAGGGGTGCAAAGAAACAACAGAAGAGACAACATTTAAGCAAGCTACCAAATTGTTGCCAATAGTGATCAAAGACATGTGTCTTTAGTTCCTTTTAAAGTCTAACTGGGAGAGGCATTCATTGAGCAACCAGCCATTGAACAATGCATTGTCCTTAATGCAAGTCCAGGGGTGGGGGCATGGAGCACTTGCCTCCTTGGATGTGAGGTCCTGGATTTCATTCTTGCTCCACACACAAAAGCAACAGTTGCCACAGCAACTTAGACAGTGGTGTATGTGTTGGGGGGTGGGGGGTGCAATTGTGTTTATCTTTTGTGTCTCACCCTGCTTTGGCAAGCCTGTAACTCAGGACTGAGAGCAGCAGTTTGCAAAGAGGTCTTCTAGGGACCCCAGGCCACTGGGAGAGTAACACTCAGTCTAAATCTAAAAGAGTGAATGAAAAGGCAGGGTCTGAATTTTGGTGATGATTTCCGTGCCCGAGACTGAAGCCAGGGAAAGGCAGGAAGTAATGACAACAGCACAACTCCCAGTTAAGGATAAGGATGTCACTGTCACTGTCCTCCCATTGTTCATCGATTTGCTCGAGCGGTCCCAGTAAAGTCTCCATTGTGACAATTATTACTGTGTTCGGCATATGGAATAAGGATAAGCATTTAAAAAGTTAGGGAACAGGCTGGAGAGATAGTACAGCCGGTCGGGCGTTTGCCTTGCACGCAGCCCACCAGGGTCCCATCCCCAGCATCCCATATGGTCCCCGCTAGGGGTGGCAATTCCTGAGTGCAGGCAGACCCTGGAGCAACCTGAGCATCACAACCAGGTGTGACCCCAAAATAAATAAATAAATAAAGTTTAAATTAAAAAAGTGGGGCTGGAGCAATAGCACAGCGGGGTAGGGCGTTTGCCTTGCACGCAGCAGACCTAGGTTCGATTCCCAGCATCCCATATGGACCCCCGAGCACCGCCAGGAGTAATTCCTGAGGGCATGAACCAGGAGTAACTCCTGTCTGTGCATCGCTGGGTGTGACCCAAAAGGCCAAAAAATAAAAAAATAAAAAATAAAAAGTTAGGGAACTTCAAAACTCAACTCAGCACAACTCAACTCAGCACCCGACACCTCACCCCCCCCCCCCCCGCCCGCGCTAATCCCGCGAGACTCTTGAACAGATTCCCAGGTGTGCGCCCAATCCCCGGTCATCACCCCGTAGGGGCGGGCCGGGAAGGAACCGCGCACCACCCAGCACACACGGGTCTCGCGAGAGAAGCTCCGGCTCTCGCGATCTTTCGGGAGCCGACCTTCCGCGCGCACGGTCGGCGCGTGTGCCGGGGCGGGGGAGGAGGGCGGAGATTTGTGGCTGGTGGGGGGGTGGGGGGGAGCCGAGCTGCCCTGCGGCCCTGCGGCCTTGCCCTACGGAAGCCTGCGAGGAAGGGCGGTGACCACTGCCCCCGTGCCGCTGTCCAGATGCCCAGCGCCAACGCCAACCGCAAGAGCCAGGAGAAGCCGCGGGAGATCATGGAGGCGGCGGAAGTGGGTCTCGGCCGTCCCGGGGTCTGGCAGGCGGACCCCCAGCCCGCGCCGCGCCCGGCCGAGCAGAGGGAGGGAGACAGGGAGGGTGGGTGGTGCGCGCGGCGCCGCCCTGAGGGGGGTCCCGGCCGCGGCGGGCCTGCAGGCCGCGCGCGCCCAGGCTCCTCCCCGGGCCCTGGCCGGTGCCGCGGGACCGGGAGCCGCCGCCGCGGGGAGCGTTTCTCTCGGAAGAAGCGCCCGGAGCTCGCGCGGGGAAACGCGTGTCCCCGGTGGTGGGAGTGTGGGTGTTGGGGGCGCGGGGGGCGGGCGTGCAGCCGCGACTGTCCCGGAAGTCACGGCGGGGCACACTCGCGCCTCCCCGGGGCCGGGCACGTCCTCCACGTAACGCACGACGTGTCACACTGTCGCTCACGGGTCGGTTTCTCGCTTCCCTCCCCTCCCCCTTGGGCTTCGCAAGGAACAGCCCGTGACTTGGTGGGGCGAGTGAGATCCGTTCCCACGTGGCCGCTTTCGAGAACCCTTTGGTCACGTGCAGGTTCCCCACGCCCCGCCCCGCCCCCGGGTAAGGGAGCTGGTGATGGGAGGGATGTCTGCAGAGAATGCATTTGAGATGAAGGGACCCAGGGCCCCGTGGGTCACCTCTAGGGGTTCTTGGGCGCTTCGTTGCAAGCGCACGTTTGAGGTCAGCCTCCACTTTTATGTGTGCTGTTGGGACGACCGAGCCCTAACTGCCCTGCCCAGCTCCTTCCTTGTCGGTCGAGGAATTCCGAGTTTGTGATAAACTCCATCCAGAATAGGTGGCCTTCGAGAAGAGCAAGTGGGTGAAGAGTTGCTGAAATACGGACAGTGCCTAGATTTCTTCTTTGGTTTTTTTTTTTTTTCCTTCGCCTTGATTTTGCTAGCTTACTGATACTGCTGTCACCCTGCATTGTGCGACTTGCTTCTTAGTGCTGGAGTTATCTATTGCTGGTGTTGTTTTTTTTTTTTCATCTATGAAGGGTGTTCCCGTAATCATTTTAACATGTCTGGTTGACTTTAGTGTATAGATATGAAACTTCCAGATCTCGAGGAGAAATTTCCAACAGGTAGCTATATAGAGTGACAGGAAGTGTTTCATACATCCTTTTGAGTTACCTTGTAAAATCCAGGAAAATTGTGATGGTCTGCCAGTTTAATTGGCTAAGCGACCAGTACGCTTGCAGTTAACTTAGGTCTAGCTACAAAGTAGATATTCTCGCCGAGATACGTAGAGGTAAAATGAGATTAAAATAAAGGCAGTTTAGGGGCTGGAACGATAGCACAGCGCCTAGGGTGTTTGCCTTGCACACGGCCGACCCAGGTTCAATTCCCAACATCCCATATGGTCCCCTGAGCACCGTCAGGGCTAATTCCTGGGTGCAAAGCCAGGAGTCACCCCTGTGCATTGCTGGGTGTGACCCAAAAAGCAAAAAAAAAAAAAAAATTTAAAAAGGCAATTTTATCTACTTAATAGTTAATAATAATCTAGGCCTAAGATCTCCTGTTTCCTTTTTTTGGGGACTTTACATCTGTAATGAGAAAGTTCATTTCTTACTCTTGGTACAACCTGATACTGAAGCTGATTTCTGTAAATAGGAAGCTAGCGAAGTTTTTGATGATGCTGCCAACAGGAAAATTGTATTTACCTTATGCCCACCATCTGCAGTTTCTCAAAACTATGGACATTGGTGCTTAGAAAGCTTACCCAAAATGGCAGTTCCCTTTGGACATCTTTTCTGTAAAAGGGGGTTAATAAATGTGTGTGATGCTTTCTCTCTTTTCCCAGAGGTACTTTATATTCATCACTTCGAAGAAGTTCTGTCTTGTCTTTTTTTATGTTTTTTGTGCTTTTTAAAAAATTTTGTATCAAGGACCTCATTCATGTAAAACATGTACTCCACTGCATCTCAGTCCCCTACTGGATTAATTTGAAGAAGTAGTTAAAATCTGTTGCATGTGTGTAAGTTTTATCTGAGAGTGCTCTAATGTATGGTATATCTACTCAGGTGATTTTCAAGATAAATGAACTAGAAACTGGGTGCTTATTCTTTTTTTTTTTAATAAGAATGATATGACATAGCTACATTTTTAGACAACCGAATCTCTGAATTAATAAACTGATTCGGAGTGGTTAAATTCATTTTTGAAGTCTGTTATTTGTACTTGTTGTTTGCTATGCTGTTTGTGTGTATTTAAAAAGTTATAATGCAGAAATATCTTTTGTAGGATTATGCTAAAGAAAGATACGGAGTATCTTCAATGATACAGTCTCAGGAAAAACCAGGTTAGTAGCTATGTGATAATAAACATTTTTCTTTCTAATCTCAAAAACTTGATGAGGTTATAAATAAGATTGGCACAATTAAAGGCATGATTAGGGAAGCATAACTCAAAAAAAGAAGCTTGTATGACATTAGTAATCTAAGCAAATTCCATAACCCTGGGGAAGCACTGTCAGTTTGGGAATCCCTTAATCTAGAAAAGATAATTATGTTTTAAATAATAAATCATACTGGTATTTCTAACTAATCAAGATTTTACTTTTAGAGGATAAAAGGTTTAGAATAAAAGAGCTTAATAATAATTGTCTTCGTGATATACAGCCCTTTCCCATACTTTGTGAAGTTGTTCCATGCCCCCTACGTCCTTATTATCATTACTTGAAACTGACTTAAGAGTTTTTTAGGGGCTGGAGCAATAGCACAGCGGGAAGGGCATTTGCCTTGCACGCGGCCAACCCGGGCTTGATTCCCAGCATCCCATATAGCCTCCCAGGCACCGCCAGGGGTAATTCCTGAGTGCAGAGCCAGGAGTAACCCCTGCACATCGCCAGGTGTGACCCAAAAAGCAAAAAAAAAAAAAAAAAAAAAAAATTGCCTTTGTTTTTGTTTTATATTTATATGTAATTTCAACAGATTTAAGTTCCCTCAACTATTGAGCAGTTTTTTCTTTTGGTATACACAGCAAAAAAAATTTTTTCAGTCTTTGGTACAAATGCAGGCCTTGGAGTTCTGGCCCATTGGAAGCATTAATTCCATTTAGAGACCTTTGAATTTTATGCTTTGGAAATATATCTCCAAGTGAATTTTATTATTTTGAATTCAGTTTACTGCATTCACAAAATAATTTTCCCCCCAATATTGTTAGAAAAGTACAAATAAAAGACCAAGCTGGTTTGGTTAAAAATAAATCTTTCTCTGAAAAAATAGCAGTACTCCTACATTTAAAAAAAAATAAACCTTTTTGATTTTTAAAATATGCTGGGGAAAAATAATTCCTTGTGAAATGTGCTTTAAGCAGTAGAGTAATGTCTACTGCCAGGACTAAATAGAGAAGTCATTTGAGACTTTTTTATTTTCAGCTAAGAATCTCTCTGAACTAGACTTCCTTGAACTCTAACACAAATAACCTCTCTGGAATTTGAGTCTCTTACATTACTGGGTTGCCTTAAATACTGCTCACACTTAGCTGCAAGTTCATGTCCATTTATAAGTTCTCCCCACCAGAAGAATAACCTGTGTCTAATCTGATTATAGTAACAGTAAAGTACTGCCTTTGATTTTATTTCTGCTGAAATTATTCCTTTACCTAGCATTTTTCTTTTCCAAGTGCTTTTGTTTCTCCAAATTTCTTCATTCTAATGTCAGGCTTAAAATTGTGGGGTAGGCAATGGTTTTCAAATCAAACCCTTGAGACTGCTTTACCCATTCATACCAGTGGGTTATGACATGTACCTCAAGTATTTGTAAATATGCTTCAGATAGAGAGCCCTTGTCTAGGGACCAGAGCAATAGTAGGGTACTTACCTTGCACTCAGCCAACCTGGGTTCAATTCCTGTCATCCTATATGGTCCCCTGAACCCCGCCAGGAGTGATTCCTCAGCACAGAGCCATGATTCAACCCTGAACACTGCTGGCTATGGCCCCCAAACAAAGAAGAGAACATCTACCTAATTACTTAGTTTTGGAGTCACACCCTGCTGTAATTGGGGACTTTTTCTGTCTCTTTGCTCAGGAGTAACTTCCAGTCATGCTCAAGGGATTATACTTGGTGCTGGAGACTCAAACTGGGGTTGCAGGGATGCAAGGCAAGTGCCTTACTCCTTGTACTATCTCTCTCACCCATGTATTATCTTAGACCCATTACCTGGTTATTTCGAATGCAGCATGAGACAAAGGTCATTATCTATTTCGAGTATTCCAGCTATTGATAACTGTGTCATGTCTAATGTTTTTAACTAATACATTTTTCTCCAATTCTAATTATTATCTACCTTTAAAATGATGCATCTTGTTTTGTTGCTGTTTTCACATAATAGTTCGGTCACAGTTTTCCTGTTTAGGGAACTCTGAGTGAATGTAGTACTTTGTTACTAGAAACTGTAGTTGTTGATGCTCCCTAGTCGTCAAAGAGGAATTTATTGGTTCCTATAACTGTCGGAAGCAAAGCATTATGTGCCTTAACACACATATCTAAAGACTCCAGCAGTGTTTTCAGGGCTTTCTATATCCTCCTGGTTCTATTTCCTTTAGATGAGAGTTTTTACCCTACAAATCCACTTAAGAGAAGGGGTGAAGATTACACGTAAACCTGGCCTCCACCACCTCAGCTCAGTGACTTTAGGAAATAAAATTTATTCCCCAGTATCTGGGGCTTTTTGTTGTTAGTTAATTTATTTTTTAATTGAATCACTGTGGATGCACAGTCAAAAAGTGTTTCGTGGTTGGGTTTAGTCATACAATGTTTCAACACCAGTCCCATCACACCCAGGATCTGTTTTTTAATCTGGGTATTAAGCACCAGAGAAATTTTTTGGTTAGTTCAAAGTAACATCCATTCCTCTGAATTGGTTTTGTAAACAAGAGAATGCCAAACTATGACTGTTCAGACCTGGACGAGTGCATCCCTTATGACTAACAAACTTATATACTGCTCTCTCCGCCTTGGAGAAGCCCTGGTTCTCCTTTGAGTGCGTCCGTCTCTCTCTCTCTCTCTCTCTCTCTCTCTCTCTCTCTCTCTCTCTCTCTCTCTCTCTTCCTTACTCACCTTCAAAAGCCTCCAAATAAAATTTGTTTTACTTTAAAAAAAAAAAAGTACTGTGGCAGTTAAGCAGTGTAGTTTAGGCAAAGGCAGGTTGTACTTGGCCTTTTTTGAAGTGTTCGGATGTGTGTTTGAAACTTTCTTTGCACTCTGTAAAGTAGGGGACCAGGGAGTTGGTATTTTAAAGGCTATTTCTTTAGTTAGGGCAAAAATAGTAGTTCCTTTAATAGTTTAGAAGGATGGCAGTGGTGATAGCAGAGAATTTGATAAATTTTAGAAATATATATATATATTTATATATAAACATATATATGTAAACATATATATACACACACACACATATACATATAAGTTCCCCACATTTGAGGCAAAATGCTACTGGAGGGGTATGGGAAAGGTATTGTTCGAGCCTGCGATTTATTAAAGAAAAGCAAGTGTTTATACTAGCTCTCACAACTAAGAAGTTCTATTTATTTGTTGCAGATAGAGTTTTGGTTCGAATTAAAGACTTGACAGTAGGAAAAGCTGATGAAGTTGTTTGGATACGTGCAAGAGTTCATACAAGCAGAGCTAAAGGTAAGATTAGTTTAATGAGTAAAGTCTTTTTTTTGTTGTATATATTTGGCTTTTTGCCACACTGGCAATGCTTGAGGGTTATTCCTGACTCTGCACTCAGGAATTACTCCTGGTGGTGCTTAGGAGCTGGGGATGGAACCCAGGTTGGCCGCATGCAAGGCAAATGCCCTACCCACTGCTCTGGCCCCAGATCCCTTTTTGTGATGACTTAATTATTTTCTTGCAAATTTCTCATTCACCATAGTAAATATTTAAAGGTAAAGCAATCCGAAGCTCAGATAGAGAAGAGAGCACCAAATAAAGGGTGTTGTGAAGATCCTCCCAGGGTGGGAGAAGCATGCTGAAAGTAGACTATAGACCAAACATGATTGCCACTCAAGGCCTCTCTTGCAAAACACAGGACTCAAAAGAAAAGAGAGAGAACAAGGGGGAATGCCCTGCCACAGAGGCAGGGTGGGATGGGGGAATGGGGGGTGGGAGGGATACTGGGATCCGTGGTGGTGAAGGATGGGCGCTGGTGGAGGAATGGGTAGTTGATCATTGTATAACAGAAACCCAAGCACAAAAATTTGTAAGTCTATAACTGTACCTCATGGTGTTTCACTAATAAAAATTTTTTTTAAAAAATAAAGGTAAAACAACCCAAAAGGCAAAACAGAAGCTCCTGTTTGTTTTATTTAATCATTGTAAACTATCCATAGTTAATTAGGGTATTAGAAAAAAATCCTTACAGATAGTTTAATCTTGAGGACTTGGATGAGTGCAAGGGGGATAGCCCAAGAGGCAGAATATATGCCCGCTCCCTCCCCTAACCCCAGCACCCCCAGATGCAAGTGGCTCCAAAACACCTCTGGGCTGAGCATCACCAGGGTGACGTTTATGCGTTTGTGGGGGAAAAGACACAAAATCTAAGGCTGTAAGTACTTTTCTAGCATTGCTCAAAAGTTTAATATATGAAGTGAAAAATGTTTAAGAAGGTTCTCATTTGGTTGACCCTACATTTGCAGTATTCTGATAGAGATGACAGAAGGGCAAGATTGAGTAATCTGAAACTATATAGTTACGTGGTATTTCTTTTATTGAATTTAAATTTGATAGCTTAAGTGGATCCCATATTACATAGTACAAATACAGAATTTGTTCATAACTGTTGAAAGTAATGTACAGAATTGAATTAAGAACTTTACCATAACAACTGAAAAGAACATTGATTTAGATAAACCTCCATGTCTTTGGAAAGTTGTCCTCCATTCCCTTGGAAAACTGTCCTCCATCTCCTTGGAAAATTGTTCTCTGTTCCATTGGAAAATTATCCTCCCACTCCTTTGAAAATTTTCCTCTCTTCCCCTAGATAATTGTCCTAGCCAACTATTCAGAATTGTCTAAAAACTTTGATAGCATTTGTGTTCATTTACGGTTTACATACATTTTCCATGTATGAACATCCTTAACAAATTGAGGTTCAGAATGATAAGCCACTTCCCCAAATTTCTCATAGTATTTAACATGGTAATTATTTGCTTGTTGTGCTTGTTTTTATTTTTTAATTTTATTTATTTTTTGGTTTGGGCCATCCCTCTGGTACTCGGGTGTTACTCTTCGTTCTGCATTCAGGAATCACTCCTTATAAACTCCGGGAACTACCATATGGGATGCCAGGGATCAAACCCAGGTCAGCTGCCTACAAGGCAAGTGCTCTACCTGGTGAACTATCTCTCCAACCTCCTGTCTTTGTTTTAAAATACTTGTATGATTGTTTCTAAGTCCCATTAAAAACGTTTTTCTCTGCCTTAGAGGCAGGCTGTGGGGGGAGGGGTATCAAGATGGGGGACACTGGGAACATTGTTGGCAGGAAAGGTATACACTGGTGAGGGGATGGGTATTAGAACATCATATGACTGAAAGCCCATCATGAACAACTTTGTCACTGTATCTCAGAGTGATGGAATTAGAGGAAAAATTGCAAATTTTTGATGTTAAAAAAAGTTTTCTTTTTGTTTGGGAGGGCTCTCAAGTATACTTGGCCATTGAAGCAGACAGTTCAATCCAAGGGCCCTCGCGAGGATGCACTGCTGCTTGCCCCCACAGTGCTGGGGACCTCCAGAGTCACCTGACACTGTGGCCACACCTGACAGTGCTCAGGGGCCTCCAGAGCTACACTCAGTGGGTGCTTGGAGTAAAATTTTTATGGAAGGCACACCATTGTTGCTTGGCATGTCCTGCAGTACTTGGGGATCTAGCCTATGTCCTCACACATGTTTTACCACTTGAGCCACAAGTCTGGCTCCTTCTTGAAATTGTTTTTAAAAATTCCAGCATTATAGGGTTTAGAGAGTACGGCGAGTAAGGTGCTAGCCTTGCACATGACTGATCCCGGTTCAATCCATAGCATCCCTTATGGTCTCCCAAGCTTGCCAGCAGTAGTTTCTTTTCTTTTTTTTTTTTTTTTATTTATTTATTGAATCACCATGAGAACAGTTACAAAGCTTTCAGGTTTAAGTCTCGGTCATACAATGATCAAACACCCTACCCTTCACCAGTGCACAGTTTCCACCACCAAGAACCCCAATATACACCCCATCCTACCCCTCCCCCTGCCTGTGAGGCAGATGATTTCCACTTAACTCTCTCTCTACTTGATTACATTCATTATTTCGACAAAAGACGCGCCATTATTATTTGGAATTTTCCCCCAATAATCAGATCTGCTGAAAAGGCATCATTAAATAATTTGTTTTCGATTGCTGGTTATGAAGAACATATGACTTTGGATTTCTGATATTTTGCTAATTGAGTCTGGAGGGATTTCTCCAAAAGCTGCTTTCGAGGTCACTACTATTAAGAGTTTATCTATTCTTTCAATATCATATCCCAAATTAGATGAATACTGATGAACTTGACGAGTACTGGTGGAGTTTGTTTTTTTTTTTTTGACTGATTTTAAGCTAATGATAGCTTTTCTGAAAGGCTGAGCAATTTGTTATACCAATGGATAATCACCATGTATTACAATCCTTCATTTGCACTCTCATTACAGTTGGTGTTTTTTTTTTTCTTGGGGGGTGGGCAGGGAGGTAGTAGGGATCCACATCTGGTATTGCTCAGAGGACTTTTCCTTGATGCTGGAGGGACCACCAGGTTCTAGGGGCTAAACCAGGGTCTCGACCTTCCTGTATGCCATGCTCCAGCCATTGCAATAGCTGTCTCCCTGACCCCCATTCATTTGCATTGTTCATTAGACTGTTCACTATTTTTCTGTGCAAAAGGAGCATTTTGTTTATAGTTTTAATCTAAACTACACATTTATTTAGGAAATTAGGGCCAGAGATTTAGCTCAGTGGGATGGAGCAGATGCTTTGAGCATCAGAGTCCCAAGTTGGGTCCCTGGTACTAAATGATCCCCTAAGCACCCCCAGGAATAGAACCTAAGCACTGCTGGATGTGGCTCAAACCATAACAAAAATATGGCTCGATTTCCTGGGTGATGGATTCAGCCTATTCCACCTCCCCTCAGACGAGCCTAGAGCAGAGAGGCTGGGCTGCATCCTCTATTGGAGAGGGATTCAAGAAAGGCGCCTCACCAGGGCAGCCCTTGCCTCACATTTGCTTGGCCATGATTACTTAGTAGTGGAGCTGGTGGGAAAGGATGGAAATCTCAAGAGAAAGAGAGAAAAAATGTTTTTTTAATAAATTAGGAGATAAGAATACTTGCAACATTACGCCTCAACCAAAGACTTCTTCACATTCATCCCTTTACTCTCCCCATCTCTATCTCTTATCCATGTTGAAAATGCATGAGTGATGCTAACCAGTGGTTATGAGTAAGGACTTTAAAGCAGTTTTCTCTTGCCATCAGTAAGTTGTGATGGAATTGTTTTCACTTAAATTTCCCAAGTAGAGGCCAGAAAGCTAGTACAATGGTTAAGGCGGCACTTTTCTTTTGCACAGCCAAGTTTGATTCCATCACCAACAACACATATAGTCCCCCAGACGACATGATCTCTGAGCATAGTCAGGAGTAGCCCTTGTGTACTGCTGGGTAAAGCCCAAATCTGGCGCCAACACCCCCACCCCCACATTCTCCTCAAGCATCTAAATCTTTGTTCGTTTGACAGAAAAATAATGTATTATTGTTTGCTTTGACCTGCCTTACTTCTGCATGTTTGAGTATTCCCTCAAATTATTTGTTCCAGTCAGTTACTCTCTTACCTGTTCAGACTTCATTCTTCTTTACACATCCATGTTTAAGATCTTCATGTAGTGAGGATAGTTACTGAAATGTATTCTAAGTCATTCGGCAAATATTCTTTCTCAGATGCTAGTTTTTCCTTTTTTTTAAAATTTGCTTTTTTCGGGCTGGAGTGAGTACAGCAGGTAGGGCATTTACCTTGCATGCAGTTGACCCGGGTTTGATCCCCAGCATTCCATATGGTTCCCCGAGTACAAGTGCAGAACCAGGAGTGACCCCTAAGCATCTCTGGGTGTGGCCCAAAAAGCCAAAAAAAACTTTTTTTTTTTTTAGTTTGCTTTTTTCATAGGGACCAGTTGTGCTGCAGCCTCATAGTGTCGGCTTGACAGTTGAGGGCTTAGATTAGGCGGTGACTGGGGAGTCTCCAGGCTAGAGCTGAAATTTGTTTAAGAAATCAATACGGTGGCAAAATAATTTTCGCGATTTATATCTTTTTAGAATTTGCAATTTGCTAGAGCAAGGGAGACAGTATTTGCCTTGTATACAGACAGCCTGGTTTCTATTCCAAGTACCACATATGGTCCCCTGACTCAGTAGTAATTCCTGAGTGCAAAACCAGGAGTAAGCCCTGAACACTGCTGGGTGTAGCCCAAAACTTTTTTTTAAAAAATGCAATTTTTCTGTGTTCTCATAATGCATGATAAAAACAGTTTTTGGGTATTCCTAGTAGAAACTTCAGTTTCTGTAAAGTTCATTAGTTGAGGGCCAGAAAGAGAATGTAGCAGATAGGCATTTGCCTTGCTCACAGACGACCAGGTTTGTATTCCTGGTACCACATATGGTCCCCTAAGACCACTAGAGGCAATCCCTGAACACAGAGCCAGGAGTAAGCCCTGAGCACTGCTGGGTGTGGGTTCCCCCCCAACCCCAGGAAATCAAATAATAAAAATAGTCATTCAGTTGAGTCTGAGTATTTGGTTATGAAAGTTTGATACATATTGTGTATGTCTGCCGAATATGACAAATTTTGATTTGAAAATAGAGAAGCATTTTCCTTCTTTGTAAAACCTAAAGTAGCATATCTTTAGTGCACTGTATTCTTTCCATCTCTTCAGGGAAGCAGTGTTTCTTGGTCCTACGTCAACAGCAGTTTAATGTCCAGGCTCTTGTGGCGGTGGGAGACCATGCAAGCAAGCAGATGGTTAAATTTGCTGCCAAGTAAGTAAGCAATTATATCCTGTTGTCAGAATAAACAATGGTGGGAACCAAGACTCCCAGGGATTGGACCATTTTCATACATTAACATCAATGCTTCGTTTGTTTAAAAATGTAGTTATTTAAATTGTCAGTTGAGTGTTGCTGAATACATTAAACTTACAAAAGAGAAAATATGGAACACAGGCTTGAGATTCATTTGGAACTGCTGAAGCAGCACTCTCAACAGACAAGTCACATTTACTTTCAAGTAGAATGACTAAAAACTTGGCAGCCCCAACATAGCAAAGCAACTTTATTTTGTTTCGTTTGTTGAGCTTCCTGTCCCCCCTGCCTCCCCCAGTTTGAGATTTGCATGTTAAGCAACAAGTTTTCTAACTTTATACTGAAAATGTCCAAAGTTAAAAGATAGCATTTTACAAATGACTAGGAAAGTGAATGGAATTCAAACAAACGTTGTAACATGTTGAACTTTTAAATTTTATGCCAAAAGGGGTTTGTTTTTCTTTGTTTTTTAACTAAAAATTGGTTTAAAAGTAAAGTCAAAGTTCCTCCGCAGCAAGTGTGGCTGGCTGACTGCCTATCTAGAAGCACATTGCTTTGTGTAGTTTGCAGAAGGCAGGATATAAAGATAACATAGTGTAGGGGTGGTTGTGCCTGCTCTGACCCTACAGTTATGGTAGTAATGGTGATAGAGCTAGTTTTGCTTGCGTCTTAATCAGGATTTTATTTCCATAATAATGATCAAAGAAGACTTTTCGAAAAGGGCAGTATATTAAAATTTACAAATTAGACGACTTCATACTTATAGTTGTTTTTAAATGTTCCTTGTTTGTTTTTATTTGGGGGGCCACACTCAGTGGTGCTCAGTGCTCATTCCTGATTCTTGGTTCAGACATCACTCTTGTTGGGATTTGGGATACCGTATGTGGTGCTAGGGATTGTGGAAGCCAGGTCAGCACGTGCAAAGCAGATGCCCAGCCCACTGTACTATTTCTCCATGTATAATTTGGGAGCGGGGGGGGGGGGGGGTTCTTTTGTTTGTTTTGGGCCACATCTGATGATACTTAAGGATTGCTTCTGTCTCTGTACTCGGGAATCACTCCTGGTAGGCTCCGGGAATCAGATGGGATACTGGGGGTTGAACCCGGTCAGCTGCATGCAAAGCAAGTACCCTAATTATTTTATTTTTTTATTTTTATTTAAAAAATTTTTTTTCTTTTACTTTTTGGGTCACACCCGGTGATGCACAGGGGCTACTCCTCATTCATGCACTCAGGAATTACTCCTGGCGGTGCTCAGGGGACCATATGGAATGCTGGAAATCCAACCCGGGTCGGCCGTGTGCAAGGCAGATGCCCTACCCGCTGTACTATCGCTCCAGCCCCTTTATTTATTTTTTCTTTAAAGTAATTCAAGCCCAATGGATATGTCAAAGGACTTAGTACATGCTTTGCATGCAGGAGGCTGGGTTCAAACCTCAGCACTACTGCATGGTCCCCCCTGGCACTGTCCGGAGTGGCCCCTAACTACCACAGGATGTGGCCAAAAAGTCAGGGGGGGAGATACAATATTCTAATTTAAATTTGGTTATTCCCTGACTGTCCCCATCCTTGGACATTGTTTAATTTATAATGAATGGCCAGCGAGTTTGAGCTCAGATATTTGTTTATCAAATTCACATTTATTGCGCAATACCTATACAGTAGGTTTTGTGGTGCTAGGGATTGCTCAGACCTGCACCATGGTTTACAAGTTCCACTGCCATTGTGGCCAGGGAGTAGCTGAAAGAAACGGAGCACTTGCCTTGAATATGAGGCCCTAAATTCTGTCCTTACACTTCCTACTCCCTACTCCCCCTCCTCAACTCTGGGACACAGCATCACCAAGAAGGGAGTGAGCCCCAGGGCTCCTTGAACATGGTTTGGGAAACCACTGATTTTGATGCTTGATAAACACACTGGTAGCAGTACTATTTGTAAGGATGTATGAATGTGAGCATATTTGTTATTTAGCCTTTTGAAGTCAATCACTATTCTGTGAAATGGAACAAAAGTAAACTTCTCCAGAAATGAACATTTTCTACACAGAGCAAGTGTCTTCTATAAAGATTACCCTGAAATCAAATAAATGCAAATTATATTTAATATACTGATAAGTACTGGGGAAAATGTGGAGTTCAAGTTAATAAACTTTCATTGTTTTGACTTTAATGTATTTTATCTTCAATTATTTCTGAAGACATGAAATGTATGTTGCTATGTCTGTATGGTTCTGTATAGAATATGCTTTACCATTGTTTCATTATAATCTCAGTGTTAGATTCTTAGAGAAATTAGTCAGTTTTTTAAAAAAAATTTACCCATAATACTCACTAAGAAATATGCGGCTGACAAGAGGGCTTTTAATCCATGTAACATGTTAAAGTGGTCCACAAGTAGTTATTTCTTTTTGGGGGGTTTTCTCAGAAATTCCTAAATGTGACTTAAGTAAAAGCGATTGACTATATCTGATGAACACCAAACTTGCTAGCTGAAAAAACTACTTGCATATAGTCTCTAAATAGAACTTAGCTCACTAATTGCATAGTTCATAATGCCTAGATATGAGAAGCTTTCATCTAAATAAGATAGTGTAGGGGTTATCTTTTACATAAGAAAAGAATTTAGATGACTTTGCCTAGATTTCATTAATTTTTATGTAGTTGGTGATGATGCTATTTTTTTAAGAACCACACCCAGCGATGCTCAGGGCATACTGCTGGTCCTGCACTTAAGGATCACTCCTGGTGGGCTCAGTGGACCTTGTGGGGTACTGGGGATTGAATTCAGGTCAGCTGTGGCCAAGATATATTTCATCATTTTTGACATGAAACCAAGATCTAGATCTAGATGTCATTTCAGGCTTAAGAATTAAATTGCATTGAGGTCTTTTCTTTTTAAAGCAAAGAATGTATAACTATTTTTAGTCGTTTAAAAATATGGACTTTATATAGTTAGTGATGTGTGGGAAAAGATGATTTTTATAATAGAACTTTTGGAAGTCATGAAGCCTTTGACTGGATGTATTCAAGTGAATGGTGCCAATTTTATACAATAGGCTTGTCATATGGTACTTAGGTTATAATTATTTAACTTTTGGCACTATTCCTGTTGAGGTATCCAGTCTGAGCATTAATTAATTTTTTTAAATTTATTTTTTGTTTTTTTGAGTCACACCCAGCAGTGTTCGGGGCTTACTTCTGGCTCTGCACTCGGGAATCATTTTTGGTGGTGCTCATGGGATCATATGGGATGCTGGAGATCGAACCCATGTCAGCTGCTTGCAAGGCTAATGGGCTCTCTGCTGTACTTTCACTCTGGCCTGATTAATAAATTATTAATAGCTTTTATTACTTGTGAAAAATGAAAATTGTCATGACGGATGACTAGTGGGAAAACGATGGATCTTTAAAAACGTTGTGATAAGTTGAAAAATTTTTAGGAGCATGATTGCATGATTCTAAGGGACCAGTAACTTGTCTTTTTTATGTGACTTTAAAACTCTTCCCAAGGTAGGTTAGAAATTTTGACCCTTCTTGGTAATAGGCACCTAAACCCTATATTCTTTCTAACAGAAAGCCAGTAGCATGATCTTATGACCAGAAGTAGCTCATGGGTCCTTTCAGTCTAGTTGGGAGAAACCCTCCTAAAATGAAGTAATAAATAGCTCAGATTATTGAAGAATAGATTATATCTCTATACTTTGAAGAACTTAAGTCTGACTCCTGAAACAATACGAATTAAAGGTAAAACCACTCCATACAATGATTATGCTGCTAACATTCTATCATTTTCTTGTGTGTAGAAAGATGGAAATACTCTTGAAGAACCTGTAACAAGGGTCCCGTGGTCTTTTTTTTAGATAAAGTTCATGGAAAAGAAACCTCTACCTCCACGCATAATCCATACTTTCATTGCTTATGAAATACTATTTTTTAATAATTAAGAAACTTAATCTACAGTTTAGAGGTCAGAGCAGTGGTACAGCAGGTAGGGCAATTGCCTTTCACACGCTTAACCAGGATTCCATCCCCATTATCCCATATGGTCCTGATCCCTGCCAGGAGTGATCCCTGAACACAGAGCCAAAAGTAAACTCTGAGCACTGTCTCAAACAACAAAGACAGTCTACAGTTAAAATTCAGTGTATTGACTATCCTTGCTTTATCTTGCCAAGATTTCATTGAGTACAATGCACTCCAGAAAAGGTTCAGTATAGTTCAGTATAGTAGTCACCAGCAGCTTCCCCGTCTGTATAGAGGGAAAATAGCAAGTTTGCTCCTAACAATAGTGTTATTAGCCAGTTAGTACCCTGGCATATGTTTAGTGCTCTGGATTGCCATATTTGTATCTTCTCATTTGATCCTCACTGCAGTGAGGTGTAGATTGTTTTGTTTGGAGTAGGGGTTTTGTCTGTTTCTTTTTTTCTTTTCACAATTGAGTTTTGACTAAGTTCTCTATGACTATAAGGCTAGCTCTCCTAGCCTGTGTGTCAGTCTGCCTCTCCCAGAAAGTAAAATTGTATTTTGTACAAAACCTACTACAGTATAGCTCACCTAGAATACAACCTTGATGTGATTGAAATACGTCAGTGATTGGGAAAGCAAAACCCATTGCATTCTTTTCTCAAGAGTATCTTTTTAAAAATGTGTTAATTTATTCTGGTATGTATCCTCAAGGAATAGATAGAGCTATTTTGTTTTTTGAGAAATAGTAGTGACTTTTAGATACTGTTCTTGAGTTACTGAGAACCTAAACTGGTGAAAGATAATTCTGGTGTGAAGAATATGGCTAATTTATAAAGTAGCACAAAAGATTTTTATGTTGAGTCATCGGTTGGTGCTATAAAGTTTTTTTCTAATCATTAGTAATACTGATGAATTTGTCAACATATTTATTGTGTGTCATTACCCCATTTGGGACCACACCTAATGTTGTGTAGGGGCTGCTTCCCACCCTGCT